GGAGAAAAGTTACAGTCTTTCGAAAGTGTGTGAATTATATGTTCATTTCAAAAGGAAACCGACAAGACAGAGAGGGAAAGGTGCGCGGACTCTAATGCAGCTGGGCCAGTCATCCTCTCCTGAGTTACCGTGGGTTTGGGGCCAAACAGGCATGTTCTGGGAAATGCAGTCCTCTTTTCTAAACGAAGAAATGCTGCTTGGGACTTCGGTAACTGGTCAGAGAAACCCTTCAGAGAGCTTTAAGGTCAAACAGCTTGGACCTACCCAGGATAAAATCCCTGATTCTGCAGAGCAACACAACCAGCATCCCATAAAGAATGTCTCCCACTTGCAGAAGCACACAGTGCGAGAAAACGTCTCCCCACGTGACCACTTTTTTCACCAGAGTTGGAAGAATCAGTGGTCCTTGACGACAGTGACCATAGGCCAAAATACCCCAGTCCCTGGGAAAAGGGAAGGGGTAATGCTCCCATCCCGCACTGGGCGGGCCGTCCTCAGAGTGCCCTGGGTTTGTTCTGCACAGTGCTGTGTACCTAGCATACAATGTGCATTTTTCCCCCTCCTCACTGCATCCTCCCACATCGCCATCCTTCCTCACTTTGACCACTATTCAAGCTTCCTGCCAGAAAGTTCAGAAAAGACCCGACACTTTAACTCTCTTACGGGGACAACCACATTACAAGACGAGACCTGTGCTATTTCAAGTCCCAGTTAAACAAGAGAAGAAAAGAACAGTTCCTTCTAAAGAGGTGTTGAACTGACATCCTCTCGCCACGTCTGTAAACTTGGCACTCTCATCAGGACACATGGGCTAAGGGAGGGGCACCAGCCAGGGGCACAGCTTTTGCTCAGGAGCTGGGAGGCAGGCTTAGTCATCTTTTGTGTCTCCAAGACCACCGTGAGAAGCTGATCAAAGCTGAAATTCTCCTTAGGAAAATGAATCTCTGTTCACATGCAGACTTCTGTTTCATTTCACGGGAAGTCTATCCATGAATCTTGGGTTGAGAGCCTAGGGTTCTAATCTGCGGTTGATCTGGCCAGCGTTCTTAGAGATTTTTGACCACCATTCCAGGCAGATAATCTAAAGACTCTGGTCTGGCTGAGAATTGCCCAAGGGTGGCCCCAGGATGAACCTCAGGAGGGCTCAGGCAGGTTCCTCAGACACAGCCAAACCAGCATCCCAACAAGAAGGCATCTGGTAGACTCCAGGACAACAGGAAACTTGGATCTGTGCTTATACTCTGGTTCCAGCAGCTTTTCTCTGGGGTTTAGTTCAATGGGGCAGAACTTGCTTCCTGGCAGAAGATGCCGACTGATCTGGCCTGAACATTTGTTGGCACTGGAGCTGCTTGGCCTGGGGAACTGGCTGCATGTGTGTGGCAGCTTGTGTCTCTCCCTCATTTGTTGGATGTATACCAGCCACGATGGACAGGTACCACACACGTGGAGAGACCACTCGTTGGACAAGGAGAAACAGTGAAGTGTTATTTTTCTCCCATGGTCACATAACATTGGCTTCTCCTTGGGAGCCCACATTTTTTCACTGGAGTCATTTAAACTCCAGTTTTCAGAACATGGTAGCCTTCAGATAAGCCCTTCTGAGATCATCGCCCATTGTCCTTTGTCCCAGTGTCTGAACAGCACATTACAACTTTCTAAATGATGGAGTTGATGACACTCTGCTCCTCCCTCTTCTTTCTCATTATCACTGCAAAACCCATCGTCATCCTATGACAGTAGCCGGACATATTGCCATTCGCACTTCCCGTGCCATTGTGGGGCTGCTAAATGGCACCGAGGTCAGGAGCAGCAGTGGGTGAAGCAGAGCAGAGTCTGGGTCTCATCCTGATCGAGCCACAGGCGAGCACACGATTTTGTGGAAACCGCTTCCCCGCCTCCGTCGTACTACCTTCATCTGTAAAGGAGGGGTTGACGGTGCTTGCTAATTTCTTAGTTTCTGCCAGTCTTAACATTCTACATTCTGTGACTGCAGCTAATTAGGGTTTGTCATAACCCAGTGTCTCTCACAGGTGTCATTAAGACGTCAAGTTTTCAGGTAGGTGGTAAGAAGCGTGGAAGCTGGGAGACCTGAGAAGACTGGCTCAGAGCTTTCTGCTTCTATCCTGAGTCACCCTGATGCTGAACGAGTTGAATTGAAGAGGAACCTTCTAAGTGTCAGTGCTGGGTTGGAATCTGAGAACTCCCTGTGTTTTAGAGTGAACCAGTGGGGAGAACTCATGTCGGAGACCAACGTTGGCAGGAAAATGGTCTTTCGCTTGTACTGGGGGCTTGGAGGGTGAACTTTGCTGTAACTTTGTAGCTAAAACATGACTACAGTGGCCACACCTTCACAGGGATGGCTCCCAGCGTCCCCCATCATAAGCCTACAGAGGAGCCCCCAGTGAGAAACAGAAAGTCAAGTGCTTTCACGGCAGGAGATGTCAAGCGAGGAGCCTTAAGTGGCACTCAAACTGTCTAAGAAGCCAGCATCTGGAGATTGGCTTGGATCCGCAAGACAGTATTCCAGCAGGCTTAAAACTGGACGATCGGACTTTCACATCTTAGTGTAAATTCATTTTAACCACCTCCTTTCTCAACTTATACCTCAGCTGCTGTGAGGAAATGGATGTCTTGAGGAGAACACGTAGAGGAAAGAACCAGTATTTACCTTTGAAGTTGTGGGCGCAGGTGGAAGGCCAGAGGAGCTTGGCTCCAGGTCGGCCAGACCTGGAATTAAGGGGGCCTTGAAGGAGGGAAGAGAGAGGGGAGGGAAGAGACTAAAGAGAAATGTTGAGATTCATGAATGTAGAACTTGGCTCTGAGCAGAAAGAGTGTCCCTGAAGGAATTGTGGGAAATTCCAGGGACCCCCAATCACCTTACTAACATTCACATTCAGAATGTATATATTTTTCCTTTTCATTTTCATTCAAAGTCTTCAAATAAGGGAAATGCAGTCCCCTCTCTAGCTGATTCACAGAGTACTGGAATTCTTAGACAACGGAGCTTGGGGCACGCCCTGCTCATATATTCTCATTCAGCTCAAGCCAAGCCCTGCCTTGTCACAGTTCCCTTCATCATGTCGCCACTGCTGTTAGGAAGACATATTGGACAACATAGAGGCATCATAATTAAGACGAATTTTTTCCAGAACTGACCACATTCACACAAAACTGCCATTCCTGCTCGTACTGGCCACTTTCTTCACCTCTCAGATGAAGTTTGAAAAACCGTCTTCCTGATTTAACTTCCCCAGCCGCATGCTTCATCATTCTCCTTGCACCATCCTCATCCCCTCGAGGGTCTTATTCCAGTGCATTTTGAGGTTCGATGAAAGAACACAGGCCCTAAATTGAGACTTCCCAATTTCAGATCCCAGCTCTCCTGTAACTACGTGCCTGAGCGACCTTAGTTGGATTATTCAATCTCATTAAACCTCAGTTTTTTCATCTGTAAAATGGGGCTGTTGATGGGACTCATGTAACTCTTAATGTTACGAATAAGTTTCACACTGTATGTAAAATGTTTAGCACAGATCCTACCTCAAACCAGACACTTAATACAAGTAAATCCTATTAGAATTACAGGAAAATGTTCCAAGCTTTGGAGCTAAAGAATACTACTTTCTCATTTAACAACCGTCATCTGTGTGTCTGTGTTTGTGCTTTAATTTCTTTGAGACACACTGAATTTTGCAGGGAGTGTGCTTCAGAGATAAAAATGCTCTCATCCATCACTGCAGCATTTTGCCTTTTATGGTCCTGCAATCTTTAAATTTACTCTTTGTTTATGTTTATAAGATCCTCTATTAAATTTCAAGGCATTGTCTGCCAGAGTGGACTTTAAGCACACCGATCAGTTTCTCATGACTCTGATGAATCTTCAGAGCAGAGAGAAAAAGAAAGACATCAAATCAAGACCCTAGGCTGAGACAAAAGAAAAAAACTGTGCAGAGAATAAAGAACAGTGGACTGGAAGTGCTCTAGCCCCTTGTCCATCACTGTGTTAGTTCTGTAGCTATTAAGTTTATGACAACCACTTCAATCATTTCTTTTTTAATTTGGAAATTGGGTAATTGAATAAAATAAACTTTAAGGCTGTTCATGTTTTAAGGTGTCATGGTTTTGTTACTCTGCTGCCAAGAGCTATGAGATAGTTACCATGTAAGGTGTGAAACTCAGTTCCTGCCTTGTAAATTAACGGATGACTTAAATAGGGGAAGAGAACGGGAAAGGGCATTTTAGACATCCAGACCCAACTTGAGAGGACAAAAAAAACATGAAAAGTGACTTGGAGGAGATTTTATAGTAAGCCTGGTTAGAATGAAAGTATCAATATTAGAAATTGGTGTAGGAGGGGATGGTGGACAGGTTACTGACAGGCACTGGCTGCTGTTAGCAAGCTGAGCAGGCGAGTCCACTGTTACATCACAAGACACCATCAAAGAAAAAATCATCGAAAATCATTGGTCAAAGCTGGCAAAGCCAGTATTTTTTAAATGTGGGGTTCTCATTAAAACATACAGCTATTAAAATATTCAGGAGAGAAAGAATTCATAATTCTTCAGGCAGTTCCCGTATAAGAAAGAACATCAAAGAACCAAAGGTAACCCTATTGTCATGTGAATTTTTGAACGGCTTTCAATTTGTATTTAAATTTAGGTGAAATAATTTGCGTATGTAAACTCAGCCACAGTGTCCTGTTTTCATTACTTACAGCTTCATAGCAGACGTCAAGTGAGGTTCTATCACCAAGGACCAGTGCTGCCCCCCGCTTTGGGTCTTTTCCTATAATTGATACCGCACACGTGGGCCAAGCAGGAATGGTCTTTGAGGATGTTGTGTTCATAGCAGACCATCAGCCACATGTGAAAACTCAAAGGCAACTGAAACTTTTTAAAGACATAAAAAGAGGTGTTCCTTTGATTGTTCGTTTATTTTCCCAGCCAGTTGGCTCGTTGGCTTGCAAATAACGTGTATGAATCTGTGTGTTTTTTTTCCAGGGTCTTTCTTTCCCGAGTTCAGGCCCTCAGAAACAGTTTTTAAAATAGCGTTTTGGCTCGGATACCTAAACAGCTGCATCAACCCCATTATATACCCGTGCTCCAGTCAAGAGTTTAAAAAGGCCTTTCAGAACGTCTTGAGAATCCAGTGTCTCCGCCGGAAGCAGTCTTCCAAGCACGCGCCGGGCTATACGCTGCACCCACCCAGCCACGCGCTGGAGGGCCCGCACAAGGACCTGGTGCGCATCCCAGTGGGATCAGGAGAGACCTTCTATAAGATCTCCAAGACGGATGGGGTCTGTGAATGGAAATTTTTCTCTTCCATGCCCCGTGGATCTACCAGGATTACAGTGTCCAAAGACCCATCAGCCTGCAACACTGCCCGGGTGAGAAGTAAAAGCTTTTTGCAGATCTGTTGCTGTAAGGGGCCCTCGACCCCCAGCCACGGAGAGAATCAGCAAATTCCAACCATTAAGATCCACACCATCTCCCTCAGTGAAAACGGGGAGGAAGTCTAGTGGACGGGAAAGGTCAGAAGGAAGGGGGGGTGATCGCAGGCACCCACCCACTTCCTACCAGGAAGGTCAGTTCGCTTTTCCTGGATGATAAGACGTCACCATTAAACCAGGGACCGTCTGGGAATGGGCTGAGGAGGAGACCCGACTCCTGGGTAGCGGGTAGGGCTCAGGGAAGAGTGAGGATGTCACACAGCCTCCCAGGTCACACTGACGATAAACAGCATGTCCTTGAGGCGGATCCTCTCTGGGTCATCCTCTGAGCCCACTTTCCACGTCTGGCCCTTTCAACGAAAAACACCATGGGAAACAGAATTTTATACACAATCCAAAAGACTATAAATATAGGATTGTGATTTCATCCTGAATATTTTGAGCACGCACTCTAAGTTTGGAGCTATTTCTTGATGGAGTGAGGGGATTTTATTTTCAGGCTAAACTTCCATGCAGCCACGTTGGATATTTACAGGGAGAGGGCCTGGAGAGGAAGAGCCTTAAGATGGTGGCCGATATCCAGACACATTATTTTTAGAGCAAGTTTTAAATGTCACCATTTCTGAGACATCCAGTTTCTCAGCTTGGGGGTGAAACTTGACCGTGAGATTTACCTTTCGCTGCAATTTGACCAGATTCTGCTCCCGATTCCCTAAGGTGAGGGCAAGGACACTCATTACGTCTCTGAACTAATGGAAGCATGTTGTCTACAGTTGGGTCCAGAGAGTGTTGAAAGAACCAGTTGAGGAAAGGATGACTTTTCCCAGTGGAAGACAGTAGGGATGAGGGTCGAGTTTCTAGCTGAACTAGTATGGACAAAATTACTATTAAGTAGTTCCAAGAGCAGATGGAGGAAGAATTCTTGTTTGACATTTTTAAAGGTCAAGAGGTTGGAGTGGGGTGGGTGCTAATTTCATGCTAAGACAGATTACTCCACAGCCTTTCCAAAGTGCCTAGAAAGGCTTTTCTTGGCAAATCACTTACCTTTTCCAGAACTCCAGTAGGAAAAGCCAGAGCTTATATTTTGAAAGGCACATCCAGACTCCCATTTTTTTCTTTTTTCCTCAGCTGCTTCACTATTGCAGAATGCGTGAGGGTCAAGGTCCCCAGTGCCCATGTGACATGCTGGAGTGGGCCTCATGGTCGAGGTATAGCCTTCCTAGACTTTGAAAGGTGCACATGTTTATCTTGGGAGGATACTTCCTGGTCACCAAAAACCCACCAGAAACAGCAATTTGCAAACAGTGTTTACAGAAGCCTATTTATTCTGCTAAGAGAGCCAATAACCCATTCGCTTCATCTACACCCACTTTTTACAGGGACTTGGGGAACACACTAATTTTTGCTTTGCATGTACCAAATTTTGGTAAATCTTAGTAACTCAGTATATTACAAAGATAAAGATGGTGACTGGAGGTAAAAATTTAAATATTTTCACAATCCACAGTAAGAATTTAAAATAAGATCTATGTTTTTGAAATAATTCTTGACTAGAATCCCTCGTCTGAAGCTACTGACCATTTGTGTGCCCTCTTTCCCCTAGTTGGGTAATTCCCACCAAGAATTTTCAAAGCAGATCATAGCTGTTACTGCACCCTCACGGCAAAGCTCTTGGCCCCATCATCTTTTCCTTCTTTCCTTGCGGCAAAATGATAATTTTCTGAAATCATTCTAAAAGGCTTATTTCTTCGTGTACTGCCATGGATGGTGTGTTTGCTTGTGAATTTGAGTTCAGTTGTTCGTTGTGATTTGACACGGATTATTGCTGCTCGCTCAGCCCTTTCTGGAAGGTGTCTCGTTGTTGGCCAGACAGACACTCTTGCCTTGTGCTCATAACTTGGATTCTGGCGGTAGATGTTGGCTGGGTTTTTGGACTCTTCTGGTCTGTTTGTAGGTCCTGTAACTGCTCTACCAGATGTGGGTGTCCTATTACGGACGCAGGCACCAGGGAAGGACTTGAGTATGCAAACCCCACTTAAGCTTCGTTGTTGAGAAGAGCTTCTTTTAGTATCTGAATTTGAAAAACCACTTTTGCCAGGCTCCCCCCTTATGGGAAGAGCATCCCCGTGAAAAGACTGGTCATTTTTTTTCTTCGGCAGAATATGGCTCCATGTTTGAGATGTTCTTTAAACATTTTTACAGACAAATTTAAATTTTAGATACTAGAAAGCTTAGGATCACCAGAAAGCTAGGCTTAATGCCATTTCTAATCAAAATAAACAACTAGAAAATCTATCGGTCATCTGATAAAAGCCATGACAATTGTATTCATGTAAAACTATCCATAAATAATTGTCCACTACACTCTTCTCCACCCCTGCTCCCTCCAGGGAGGCCAACTTTAACATTTTTTTCCTTTCCCATGACATGATACTAGGTATAAACATGCTAATTTTTCAAGAAATTGATAATTCACCCAAGACTTAGTCAGAGAAGGATAAACAATACACAAGTTATTTTTCACTCATCCACAAAAATCTCTGTACCTTTGGGCATGCCAAAAACTATCTAAAATTGTCACAGTTCAACAAATGATTGTCATATTTATACTCACATGTTTACTGCTTCTATTTGGAGTTTAAAGAATGTACCCTGAGTAACAGTGGTCAAAATGTTTTATCCAATGTGTTATAAAAAACAGTTGCTTTAGGATTGTCTAAACATCACAGAAAATCAACTTGACATTATGGGATAGGTGAAATTTGAGTTTCTTCTGCAATTCAAATTGTGTGCATTAAGAGAGATCTTGAATCTCTTTATTCAAGAATTTCCCCAATCCTTTGCAAGGATTTCAGAAAAAAAACATTTTACTTGTCAAGCTTTCTTCCTTTTACCTCCCTCGAGTCCCATCCAAGACCATTTCTGCCTGTAATCACTTAGTGATCTGCTAACACTCTCCAAAATATTGACCTCTAACTCTCTCACCACCTACTTGGATCAGTCCATCCTTAGTAGACAGTGATATTTGAGTAAATAAAATTTTTCTTGAGGCTTTTTTATTAGGTGCCACTGAATGCCAGGCATTGACAGGGCATTTGGCACCTGCTGTCTCTGAATGTCTTAGCAATTCCCCTATTTTTATTTGAGAGACAAAAAAACTTGATAGTTAAGAGTCATTAGGATACAGGTTTCTTCTGTACAGCACAGGGCACTATATTTGATATCTTGTAGTAATCTATTAGGAAAAAGAATATGAAAACGAATATATGTATGTATATATATGACTGAAACATGATGCTGTACACCAGACATTGACACAACATTGTAAACTGACTATATTTCAATTTTAAAAAAAAAGAGAGTGATTAAGGACTCACCCAAAAGCAAAGTGGAACCTTGATTCTATCCTGGTCTCCTGAACCCTAAAGTCTATGTTTTCCACCCACAACCCAGCCTCATAAGTAGTGAGAGTCAGAGCCCCTCAGTTGTGATTGGATGTGCTGAGGATACGAACCATACCCAGACTTTTTAATGTTTTGTTTCTTTGGCATTTGCCTTCCAATTAACTCCAGTAAGTATGCTGCCAAATCTCCATCGCAGCCAAACCCAAGAGCAGGTCATAAATGGAAAAGCTTGGTGCCTACACTTCTGACTATCAGACTGCACCACTTCTGTAGGGGATACTGGCCTGGGATGTTGTTTAGGCCTTGCAAGAAGGACAGATCATATCAAACTGGGGAGAAGATGGACACATAAGAGAACGCAGAAGAGACAGCATTGGCCTAGAACTGCAAACAGAGCTGTGGATACAAAACACATTGTACGGTGTGTTGAAGTTATTGGCTACCCAGCAAAGTTCATCAGCACACTTTCAGAAAGTAGATCTCTTTTTAAAATAAATAAAAACAAATACGATATCACTCCCATTCACCTGTAATCCCACCCCCCAAATTTTCTGAGTTGGAGATAGAGAAGGAATTACAGGCATTTCACCAGGAATTGCACGGAGCCCAGGGAGTGTGCCAAACATGTGAATTTCTTGTCTGTCACCAAGAGGAAATGTTTCAGGATGCTGATCTGCAAATAGCCAGAGACCTAGGCAATCTTTGAAAATGAAGACTCAGTTGACAGCTGTGGCTTCTTACTAGCTGGCATCCTCTTGTTTCTGGACTTCGCAAATGAAAGCTTTATGTCCTGAGCATCTCGGCTACCCCAACCCGTCAAAGCGAACCATCACGTAGACCTTCTGGCCTCAGAGGTTTCATGGTTTTGGTCTGGGACTGAGAACGTGTCGGGAACTATTTGCTTGGGCAGGTAATTATTCCCTCTTTAATCACAGCTACTTAATCACTGCTTGACAAACATTCTCGCTTGCTTCTGGGCTGTTTCTGCTCAGATCCTCTTTTGTCAAAAGAGATGCTGCCTCTGTGTATGAGTACTCGTTGACTTATTTAAGGAAAGAGTTCCGCTCATCAGCAAAGGGAGAAGGGAACCCAAACACGTACAAAGTAAACTCTGCAAGCAAAAGCAGGGTGTCTAAAAAGAAGGCAGCGGTGGTAAATATGGAGGTGCCAGAGCTGTGCTCATTTGTTACTCTGATTTCTTTTTACACTGCCAGGACTATTAACCATGAAACTACCTGCACACAGCTCCGCTCGAGCCTGGTCGGAACACTGGTGGCACCTGCTCCTTGTCTACAAACTGTGCTGTGGAGCAGGCTGAGCCCAGGCTGGCTGCTGTGGGCTCTACCATCTTCAAAAAGCACCGGGAGCCGTGGCCTCTGGCCCTCCAATGTCCCTGCAAGACAAGTGAGTGGAGATGACTGTTGTGGGGCTGGGCTGGCAAAAGCGAGCTAGGATTTGAGCCAAGGATACACGACCTCTTGCCAATGCTCCCATCAGCTTTACCTCTTTCACGCTTCCCCGGACCCAAATGTCTTGGGGGCTGACGATGGACCTTATCTGCTCTGTATAGGAAAAGATTTCATCTTTGCTCCTGCAACACGGACTACTGGGTCTCTCACCTAAAGGCAAGGCCATGGCAGGTGGGAGGAGGGTGTGAAGGAAGAAGACTGACCATGGACATGGCTCAAAGCAGGATGGCTATTTCGGTAATGTGTTGTTGCATTTGATAAACAAGGAACTGCCCTAAAGCTGATGCTTTTTCATTTCCAAAGAGAAAATAATTGTCTTGACCTGTGGCTCAGGAGTTAACTCCGTTACTTTCCCTCCATACCATAGTCAACGTTGCCCATAATAGGCTAGAAACGATTATTGCTAAACTAGGAGAAATACAGATTTAATTAGGAAAAAAAATCTAAGAGCAAATTCATGCTGTATTTGGTGGGAAAAAAATAATGAAGGCCCTGATCTGTGAAAAAGCGTGAATACAGTCGGTGCATTCAGATGTGACAGAAAAGAATCTACAGAAAATCACAGCATGAGTTCAGTATTTTCTCCTATTGATACACTTCTTCATACTGGTCAGGGTCCTCTTGCTTGTCCCGAGGCATTCCTGTGAGGCAGAAAGCGAAGAAAAGAATTACTGTCTCTACTTAGCACATGAAGAAACAAGGGGAAAGATGAGGTGAGGGTTAAGGGTTTCTTTGAATATCCCCAAATCCAGCCTCTGACTTCTTTTTCCAAGATGCCTTCCATTTCCCCAGCGTCCGCTGTGTTTCTTGAGACCCTGACCTTCATGTTTCACTCACTCACCTCTGAGCCGTGCTTTCAGCTCCGTGTGCACCCTCTCTCCTGCTGCACCTCTGTCCCCAGCTGGGCCAGTCAAGATTGTTCAAGGGGCTGAGTGCGTATCTGTCTGTGCTTCTCCCATTGGCTAAAAGACCAGCAGTAGAGCTACGCAGAGAAGCAGGCCAGGGGGCTCTCGGCTTGCTCAACGGGGTGATGGGTCAGGAAAAGCCAGCTGTGACTGACACCTTAAGGACTTCAGGAACGCCAGGGTCTCAGCGGGAGTTTGGGGAATGTTTGTTTTCCAGTGCGCCTGAGGGTTGTGTACGCCCCAGTCATCTCCCGTCAGCAAGCCGTTCCCTTCTCCTGCACCAGGCACTGTACTTGGCAGAAAAACAATACAGAAAGGCACGGACAGTCCCCAGCTTGTGATCTGGGTGTGTTCCAAGCTCATTGGTTGCATTTTTTCCCGAGAGGCATTGTTAGAGATGGGGCAGGGAAGGATGCTCTCAGAAGAACCAAAAAATTAAAACTCTACATAATGGACACCAGGGGTTGGCAAACCTTTTCTGTAAATGGCATGTGGGCCACACAGTCTTGTCACATAGTTTTCTATGTTTAACTTTTTTCTTTTTTCTTCTTCTTTTGTTGTTTTTTTTTTTTGGTTTTTTGTTTTGGACAACCCTCTAAAAGTGTAGAAACCATTCTTAGTTCACAGGCTGTACCAAAAAACAGACCATGGGCCAGATTTAGCCCACGGGCCGTAATTTGCCATCCTTGATGGCTGGCATCACTAGTTTACAGTGTCGCACAAATCCTGCTAGGCCGTAGGATTTTTTTAATTTTTATTGACTTGTTACAAGCATTTTTTTAATATGCCCTTGACACATCGACACTTGATGACATTAATGTTCCCAAACTGGATGAGTTGTTAGGGAAGGTGAGCAGTTCACATTCAGGGCTGGCACTTGCTGCGTATGACCTGCTCACCCAAAGGATGTGCTTTAGTCTGTCATTGATTTCCAGCCCGCCCTCCCACTGCCGGATTCTGCAGGACAAGCAGGTCAGCGGAAGCCCCGGGGAGTCCACACAGGTCTTTGCAGCCCTTCACCTCATCAGCAAAGTGCCCAGCACAATCTGTCAGCTCTGAGGGCAGCAATGGCCGGTCGGAGCCATTGGACCGAGGCCGGTATGAAATTCCTCCCAGACCCCTGGAGCCAGCTGAAGGGAGTTCCCTGGAGGCCACGCTTGGCTCCTTGGGAAGGTGTCCTGACCACAGCATCCGGCACCAGGGCATCTGAGGGTCCTCCCTGGGACTCACCCGCACGTGGGTGGGAGGATGGCTGCCTGGCAGGACCTCTTTCCCTCCTCTGTCTCCTCCTCATTTTCTTTCTCTTTCTTTTTAAGTCAGAAATGACCTAACTAGCCTCAAAATGGTGTTTCTAAGGGAAACATATTTGGCCCTCCCCTGGGATGATTTGTGGGCGGGGCCTCCTGCCCCGGCCCCTCCCAGTCCTGAGGGGCGCTGGAGGGAGGAAGTGGTCCCAGTTGGAAACAAGGTGTGCAGTTCCCCTGGCCCAGGGCAGGGAGTGCCCAGCACTGAGAGATGGCCGTAGAATGGTGGTGGCAGCTGACCTGATCGGGAAGGACCTGGGAGCATCATGGCCAGCGGACAGTGGCACCACTGCTGCGGTGGACGCAGAGGGAAGGCTTGGCCCCACCCTGTGAGGCAGCTTCCTTCCCTCCCCCTGGCCCTGTCTGCCTTCGTCTCTCCCTTCCTTCTTTCCAGTCTCCTCTCCACAGCCCTTCCCCTCTCTCCATCATTCCACCCTCCACTTCTTGCCAAACATGCAAGCAGTGATGATGTCGGGGCAGGTGCCCTTGCTCCAGAGGGTGCCGTTTCCCATGGGATACCTGCTCCCAACACAGTCCTGGGTCACCAGATGGGGCTCCCCTCAGCTGCTCCATCCCCTCCCACGCTGAGGACAGAGACGGCCCCCGGGGTGAGTGCACACGCGAGGCTCCCCAGGGACACTTACCCTCTGCGCGGATTGCCATGTCTGTCTTCTTATACTGTTAGTTCCAAATGAAGGCTGCAAATGCCACGTGCAGTCACATCTTAGAAAAGAGCTGTCGTCAGGATGGTTTCTCTGCCCCTCCCTAGATGTGCATCTCTCCCTTCAGCAGCTGCCACCTGTCCCCTCTGACAGTTCAGAAGTCTTTACCAAGCCCTACAGAGTCCCCTTCCCTTTCTCTTCTTCACCATTTGTCCCTCCCTTTGTATCTTGCCTAAGTACACCGGAGGGCCTCTGGTGTCTTGATTAGTCCTGTAAACTAAACTGGGTTTCGTGTTAGCGTGAAGCAGCGATGATTCGCCCAGAAGGGATCCTGCAGGCAAAACTCAACTGGGTGCAAGGAGGGCCTTCTTTTCTGGTGCTCCCGCGCCCCGTCCTGTGCCCACCAGCCCCCCTGCGCCTGGACCTTCACCGTGGACTCTTCCTATTCCTTCATCCTGTCCTTGTACCAGGAGCCTTTCTACTCCAAGCCAAGGATCCTCTCCCACCAAGCATGTGTCTGCGTCTGCTGACACAGCTCCTAGCGTATGTAACCCCCCTGTCTTAGTAAGCTCAGGCTGTCTTTACAAACTACCATGCAGCGGGCGGCTTAAACAGCAGGCAGTTACTCTCCCAGAATCTGGAGGCTGCAAGTCTGAGATCAGGGTGTCGTCGGGGCTGGCTCCTCCTCAGGCCTCTCTGCTTGGCTTATGGATGGTCGTCTTCTCGCTGTGTCCTCGCCTGGCCTTCCCTCTGCGTCTCCTCTTCTTACAGGGACACCAGTCCTGTTAGATTAGGGCCCAAGCCAATGACCTAATTTAACTGCAGTTGCCTCTTTAAAGACCCTCACTCCAAGCACAGTCCCCTTTTGAGGTCCTAGGAGTTAGGATTTCAAATATGAAAGTTAGGGCATGGGTGCACGATTCAGCCCTTAACATTTCCCTCCCCACTGTCTTCATTCCGCCCGTAAAAATGCATCCACGATTCTTTTCCAAAACCAGAAGTTCACATTCAAGCCTTCTCGGTCACCCTTTCCAAGTTCTTACAGCAATTGTCCAGAAAATATATTTGGACGCTTTGTTGTGCATTTTATTGTGATCTTTCTGTTGCTTTTCAAAATCTTTATTTTTTCACTTTAAAACATCCTTGACACTCTATGTAGATTTCATCTTCTCAACTAGATGAAAACTCCTGGAAGGCAGGAACGATCATACCATTTCATATGCCCCCGGCAGTGCTCAGCCCCTGGGTGGTCCTGTCTGCAGCCTGGGCCCCCTCCTAAGCAGGCAAGGAGGAAGGGGACAGAGAGCAGCAAAGGATGACTAATCCAAGCACTAGTTACCAGCAGGAGCTGGGGGACAGGTGCACAGGTCCCTGGGGACACCCGAGGACCCACCAGGAAGGTTCAGGTAATAGTTGATGGCACTGGGGTTCTGAAAAGATACCGTAAGATTCTGATCAGGGTGCGGAGCTCAGCAGTGGGGAACCCCAGGCTGGTGACCATCTCCAGGCCCGCGGGCATGGAATCCCTTTGGAACCATCAATGAATGGGACACATGCTAGACCCTGAGAGAAGATGAGATAGATCAAGAGGCAAAGACAGAGCCCAGCCCTGGTAGACGGGTCTCCGAGGCACCCAGGGGAGGCTGAGATCACCACGGGGCCCCAGTCCCAGCCCTGGATGAGCTACTGCTGTTTCAATGATGTCTGCCCTCCATCAGGATGAGCTTGGAAATGGGTGCCAACAAGCCTTCCGGTAGCTTTTCGTCTGCTTTGTCTCACATGTGAAAAGGAAAGGAAAGGAAGGTACGCTGACTTGATTGGGTATGAGGATGGAGACAACCATTCCCCGCTGAAAGGCCTTTTAATTCAGACTTCCCGAAGGCCCCCTCCCCGCATTGCTGCTCAAGCCTCCGGTGACTGCAGGATAAAATCCTCGCTGCTGCTGCTCCGGCCTCTTGGGTCCTGCGGCCCTTTCTGTACGACCTTAGGGCACCTTGGCCTGGTCCTCTTGCTTCTCTTGAGAAAATCTGATCCCACTTCCGTTTCATCAGCTCACCCAAACCCCTTACTGTAGACAAACGTGTTACCTGCATGGTGCGTCTCTGACGGCCGTGGAGCGATGCCTTCTCTTCTGCCTGGTTTTTGCTCAGAAGCAAGAGCATTTGTCCTCATTTGGAAGAATCAGGACTATTCTAACTGCATGGCATCTACTGTCTTACTTTCTGGTCGAAGAACAACACTGCTCAGCTACCCGTCCCCCCCACAGCCTCTCCCCCAGACTCTCATGTTGGAAGTGTTTCTGGCCCAGCAATATCTGTCACAAGGGAACCCCGTTTTGTCTCAAGCTATGTGGTTTGCCAGCTTCAGTCTAATCTAGACATTGCAGGAGAAAAAAATCACATGAAAAGGCCAGTCCTCCAAAAGTATTCAGTGTATTTAAGCCAAAATTACCCCAAAACAGGTTTGAATGAGTGCAGCAATGGCTGATTGATGTACCCAGGGAAAAGAAACAACTTGTCTTTCTTCCCCACTCTGGTCCCCAGGCTTTCTGCTTAAATCCAGCCTTATCTCCATAATGAAAAGATTTCAGCTCTGCGGCTTGGCTAATTGAAGTCTCAAGGGTTGGAAGGCCCTTGAGCACATTAATCAAAAGTGGAGCACCAATGTTAGTGCATCTTAGTCCCCACGCCCTCCCCACCCAGGCCCTGTGTCACAGCAGAGGTGACGGTCCTGGTGAAGAGCCAGGAAAGAGGCGGCATTGATGGACTAGTAGATGCATGAGCAGATTTAATCAAAAAGAAAGATGCTCAGATTCAACCTGCCCAGTCAGAAGGCTATTAAAAAGTAACTGATGGAGTATCTTAAAGAGCAAAACAAGCAAGGATTATAAATATTTAAATAACAAGTTATTGTTCGTTTTCTATGTACTTTCTTAATGGAGTTAAACATTTATTAGGGAACAATTGAATAAAAAAGTGTGGTCCCATTTTCACTCTTGTCTCCATTTCCAAAAGCTCCCCAACCCTCTGCCTTCCTAAACGGAACATCACACACCACCCTGATACCTAACATTCAGCACATGAGAGCAACAGAAATTTTGCTTCAGCTTTTTAAGAGCCTGAATCAAAACACATGCTTTCTTCATCAGCCGTGCAGGGAGGAAAATAGCTCTTTGTGTCTCTGGGGTATCATAAGCCATAAGGAATCCACTCTCCAGTCATACCACACCTACTTAACCCAATACTGCAGACAAGGGAGTGAGTTTGCTCCATACAGCGCGCTGTGATGAAGCACGTGAAGAGGAAGTTTAAAGAGTAAAAATCACATTATTGGAGCAGCTACTACGTGTCCAGCCCTTTCCATATCTTTGATTTGGTAAAATATGAAACTTTACAGTCGCCTTACCAAAGTATTTTCGCAGAGGACCAGTACAGTGATGTGGATGTGAGAAGAAGACAGAACAGGCACAAAGGAAGACTGGGAAAATGTGAGCCTTCTGTGCGCCTTTTTCTGAAGTTCACCTGTGCTGGCCTTGCTGAACCCTTGGCCTGACCTCACCCCAGAGTCCGTGAGAGGAGGGGAACTTGTGAGATTCTGTAAGCAGTGGCCTGGGAGCCACAAGGCCTGGGTTAATTTCAAGCCCCAACTCTGTCCCTAATGAGCGAGCCTGGACAAGTCATGTGAGCTCTCTTGGTCCCATCGCCTCACCTGTGAAATGGGTGAGCAAATGAAATGGTGGAGCTGATAAAACTTATGACAGCACAGTAAGCCCAGTCAAAGCGAGCCCTCTCCGCCTGTCTATTTCCCCTCCCAAAGGCTAAAAGAATAAAACAGTATTACAAGTTAGATCACCTTTACTGCAAACTCCACAGGCAGAAAAAGGGAGAACAAGTCTTTCTGTTTTCCTTCGCCCTGAATAGGTTGATACTGCCTAGGAGCTGGTCACCACCAGTTCAAGACACTAATTACTCTTTCACTAGAATGGAAGTCACACAAGGAGGCTTCTCCCATTGCCTGGGCGCTGTCATTCCTAAATTTACAGCGCTCGGCACAAAATCCCCAAAGTTTCAGTTATTTCTTCACACCCTCCCCACCCCCAACCTCGCCCCTATTTTCTTTGGGTTAGAAATATCCCAACCAGAACATTTTGTTTTAATTTTTAAAAGTCACACTCACTGTGCTACTTTGAGGCTTTCCATCAGACTTTCAGATTATAGACAGCCCAAACCAAGAGGACCCAGTCCTGGTGATTGTAATCTTTCTCCCATTGATGACTTACTTGACAATAGAAAGTCATTATCATTGTTCTATGAGAGACACTGTATAGGATGCGGTCATTACATAAAAGATGGGTATGTGTTGATATATCCAATGTTATGAGAAAGAGAAGTAATTTTGACCGCTGGAAGACAGCAGAGCATTCAAAGCAAAACTTGGGTTTAAAATCATCTCTGGAAAGAGAGTTGGGCATAGCTTGGCCTGGGGAACTGTCAGAAATAAGTGTTTACAAAACAAAATAGCCAATTCC